GTTGACCCAACAATCTGCAGGAGACAAAGCACTCATGAGAAGAAGATGGCTCTTTGTGAGACATGTGGTTCATTCCTTGTAGCCAATGATGCTGCTGAGACCGACACTGGGAACGGAGAGGTGGAGGTCTTTGAGGCGGAGGAAGGGGAGGAGGGAGAAGAGGGGGAGGTCACGAGTGGAATGAGGTGAGGTCAGGAGTGAAATGAGGGAGAGGGAGAGGTAGTAGGTGTGGGGTCCATGAGGGAAGAGGGAGGGTGGGGAATTAGGTGAGATCAGAGTGCAGTGAGGGGGGTGGGGTCAGGGTTTGCGTGTAAAATCATCAAATGCACGGGACTGGTAGTCCCGTGCATTTGATTTGCTGCAAATCTGACCCTTCTCCGAAGAAAAGGGTCGTTTTTACCTATTATTTTGAGGAGTGGTCGGTTTTGCTATATAAAATTGAAAAAAGGGTTCTTTTAAAAATTTGTCCTATGTATAATTTTCTAATATTATAGATCCTATACATAAACTATTTTGGATATGAAACTAATGTTTTTGGTTTCTAGGGACTTTGTAAAAAGATGTCTCTATTCTTGTTTTTGAACAATGTTGGACCTTAAAGAAAACTTCATATAAGTAAGGGTTCATATGAAAATTTTTATTTTATCTTCTACATTACAGGTTCCTTCCTGTTTTTTTTTTTCGTTCCTAAAACCCATCAAACTTGACTAGGATTCAATGGGAGAGCTCGCTGCCAATGAAGATCCAGTCCAAGAAATGGACGGAGATCACCGGACATCGTCATAGGTGACGCATGTGGCTAGAAAAAAGTACTCTTTTTTTCTACAAAAAATCTATAAATCTAAACGAGAAGAACTACACTTACATCAAACTGAAACTTCTTCCTTTTCTTCCTTTCTTTCTCTCTGAGCCAAAGTTTATTTCTTCCTTTCTTTTTGTGTGAATGGCGCTTTGTGGATTTGCTAATAAGTTTATATATGTTTTTTGTCCTTTTGTATTCTATAATTCTAATTTACCTTTATTCATAATTAAGGATTTATTCATAATTAAGGACATTAAAAGGCCTGATTGAAACTCTAAACTTATTGCATCAGGTAGGAAACTCTTGATTTTTTTAATAGAGAAAACATGTTATCTACATCCTCCCCACCTTAAGATAAGTTTCATCCTCAAAACTTTACTTAATTTGGTTTTTAAAAAGTTAAGGATACTTTTGACGCATTTCCTCTTCAAGCTCCCAATTTGCATCTCTTTCTAAATGATTCTTCAACTGAAGCCTGAGCACTTGTTCCTTTTTGTCCACAACACATTTTGGCTGCTCTTTATATGTTAAGTCTTCCTTCAGCTCACTTGGTTCTAGTCCTATAGCTTGAACTAGATCTCGAATGAATTTTCTTAGCATAGATACATGAAACACATTATGGACTCTAGCTAAAGAAGGCAGTAAATCAATTCCATAAGCTACTTCGCCAACACGTTGAAGTATCTCAAATGTTCCCACAAATCTTAGACTCAGCTTCCCTAGGATTCCAAATCTCTTCACACCTATTCTAGAAGGCATTTTTAAAAATACATGATCACATTCTTGAAATTCTAGTATCTCTTTCTGAGATCGGAATAATTCTTCTATTTACTTTATGTATTTTGAATATACTCTCTTATAAAGTAGATCTTGTCTATAGCTTGTTGCACTAACTCAAGTACAAGAAGTTTTTTTTCTCCAACATCGTCCTAGTGTATAGGTGAACGACACTTCCTTCCTTATAGGGCCTCATATGGTGTCATCTTAATACTTGATTGGTAACTATTGTCATATGTAAACTCTACCAATGGTAAATCCTCCTCACATGATTCTTTCAAATCAAGGACACAACATCTTAACATATCCTTGAGAGTTTGAATCATTCACTCTGATTGACCATTCATTTATGGATGATATGTTGAGCTAAAATAGAGTTTACTATGAAGGATTTGTACATACCTTTCTAATACTCCGACATGAATATCGTCTTTCTATTAAATACTATTTCTACTAGTATACCATGAAACCTGACTATTTCAGCATTATACAACTTTGTAAGCTCCTATAAGGAGAGCTTCATATTCATTGTAAAGAAGTAAGCCGAGTTAGTCAAATAATCCATTATAACTCGTATAACCTTGTTACCTCTTGCAGATCTTGGTAACCCTATGACAAAATCCATTATAATTATCTCCTACTTCCACTTTGGTCTATCAAGATTCTGGGTTAATCCCGCTGATCTTTGATGTTCTGCTTTTACTTGATGACATGTCTCGCACTCTGAGACGTACTTACTAATATCCCCTTCATATTGTTCCATCAATATAACTCCTTCAAATCTTTCTATATTTTAGATCCAGCAAGATGCATTGTAGATCTAGAATGATGATCTACCTGTAAAATCTTCTTCTTCAACTCTAGATTATTCGGTAAACAAAGTCGACTTCCAAACCTTAGAGATTCATCACCATGTATCATAAAGCCTGGTTGTTTGCCAACTTTAACTCCCTTTCAAATGTTTTGAATTCCATAATCATCTTTGTGATAAATCATAATCTCATCAATCAATGCAGGTCGTACTTGGACGCTAGCTAGTTTAGCTAATGATAGTTGACACTGAATATTAATTCTTAACCAATCCAAATCTTCTAATATAACTTGTCCTACCATCGAAAGTTGATAGGGCAGAAATTTGAATGATGCGTCGTCAGCATGAGGGCCTTGTAATCCATTGAGTTATCATGAATCCTCAGAGCACCTATCAGAGCCCGTGTTGACCTTTTATCTAATAAATGCATCCCTTCTGGAAGTTGGGTTTTTTTTTTTGCATGTATTGGCTCTAGAATTACTACGGTTATCCGAGTAGCATGTACCATCAAACAAACTATAACTGATTTAATGAGTCATTCGTAGTTTCACTATGTCAAGTAATGAGAGAAGCTATATTACCCTTCAAAGTAACAAGACAAGCTATATTACCCTTCCGATTAAGAGTGTCAGCAACTACAATTATTTTTCCTGAATGATAATTAATACTAACATCATGATCTTTGAGTAGTTCTAACAATCTCCTTTGTTTCATATTCAATTCTTTTTGAGTAAAAATATACTTTAAACTTTTGTGATCAGTATGGAGGACGCCCTCAAGTAAGACCGAGTGGCACCAATGCCCATGGCTCTTTCATAACCATCGTGATACCCTCCGTGCAGGGAATTTAACATCTGGGTGAAATAAAGTGCATCATTCTCTGTGGCTGAATCGACCCCGATAAGGTTGCCTCCTCGATGAGTCGATTCTACACGATACAAAGTAGTCAACGGTAAGTCGACAATGCAGAACTAGACATATTTAAGAAAAAAATAAAAACAAAATAGAAGTATGATTATAGCATAAAAGCAATTCAACCCTCGATTAGAATTATAGCATATGAAGTGTAGATGATTGACTAAAGGCAGGAGGATGCAGAAATAAACTAGAGCAATCATGGTTTATTCAGTCTTCATTTCATACCACCAGATTGTTATTCATGACACCAAAGGAAATGTAAGTTTTTCGTCTTTGATGCGCTTCGAGTCGCACGTTAAATTTGTATCAAGATTCAACCAGCAATTTCAAGCGCCCAGTAAACAAATATTCTTATTATGCTACTTGAATACTTTTTCTTTTCATAAAATCTTATGCAAGCACAGTAGCACAAAGTTGGCATTACAATGCACCATTATCTTTCTTCTTATAGACAAAAACATGAGCACAATACATATAGATCACAAACGATAGGGCATTGAGAACAGCCACAAACCAATAGTAGTAGTCAAGATGTGCACGGTTCAGGTTATTAGAGAGCCAACTCTCACCTGCACTCTCAGTTACTCTATCAATCACAGACACAAGAAAACTGCTAATGAAATTTCCAATGCCATAGATGCCGAAATTTCCAATGCCATATACAGGTTATTAGATAAAAGAACATTTGAAAGGGGGAAAACATTTCCTAAGTCTTAAAGAGTTATATATAAAGCTTAAGTTGCGGGTTGATCAAACAAAACACTTGAAAAGAAGTAAAAACACTTCCTAAAAAGGTCGAATCTAGTTTCTGTGACTTCATTGCTAAACGTTTGTGGCAGATCAGACACACACTAGCCTCTGTTCAGGAGTCTCGCAAAACTTACTTCCGAACACTAACATATGTCTAACATGGTGTTACATACTTCTGTTAAGATCTGCTTACCAAAATTCAACAATCTCCAATAATTATGAAAAAACTATAGAATAATCGAGAAAATGTGGGGATAATTTCTCTCAATTAGAGAAAGCAATCTAATAACCATTGGATTAGAAGGGAAAGGACAAATACTGCGAATTGGATCCTATACTGATATGCGACACATTTGAGTCTTAAATCGTATTATAAGTATACCCATGGTACATTGGGTAGTGTCCATTACATTTTACCCACCTAATAATAAGTTTTATTGTTGAATTTTAATCATATGCTTTGATAATATGATACCATTGAATCCAGATCATTCAGAATGTTCAGTTAATATGCCTCCAATCTAAATGTAAATTACATGAGAAAGGTAACTCCAAACAGAATTTTTTAACAGAACAGCTGATAGTATCCCGCTGATAGGACTTGGATCATTCTTGACGCTTAACTTACGCTGTTTAAATATTGTTACTTTCAATGCATTTGAGTTCAATACATTAACCATTATATGTATTATAACTCTACAAGTTTTCTTAACATATGCCGTGGACGCTTAACTTACGCCAGGATCTGCCGTCATCAAGTTTTCTTAATCATCTGCAGATAGTTCTGAGTTTGTGTATATATAAATAAAAGGGCGAAGTTTTGCCGATCGAGAGGAGATCTATGCACCCTCTGTTGACACAATTTTCTGAGATACGTACTACTTCTGGTGTTAATAGTATGAAGATCAAGTTCGAGTTAAAATTGGGTTGTGTCCAGTTTCAAGGTAAGGCATGAAACTTCTACCGCTAGGCGCATGGAAATTGTGAATAAAAATTTGCAGGAAAACCTCGCCTCGGGGCCCATGGTTTTGGCTTCCCAATGAAATATATATGTCATTTGTAAGTACTGGACCTAAAAATCTTATTATTTAAAAAAAAAAAAGCAAGATTAATGGATGCTCAAGTTAACTTTTTTTAATCTATAATAATAACTGGAAAAGGAGATAATATTACCGAATCTAGCTGTGATACCTGCACTGCTCGAAGTTGGTGGGTCTCCCTGTAGTTCTTCGAGCACCTTAATAATTCTTCTAGAGGCCATTCCACCAAACGGAGCCTTTTTTGAGTTGATAACGTAAGGAAATTGGACTTGAGAGTTTCTATATACCTCGTAACAGAGAGGCAAGGATCAAATTGATTGATTCGTGGGGCTAATATTCTCAAAGTAGTGGGGATGGGACCCTGGTATCTGATTCTAGTTAGAATGGAGACCGGAGACAATAGAGAATTAATAATGATTAGAGAGTTCTAAAAGCGGAAGGAATAACGCTTCTTTCTAATTTCTTCTTCTTCTTGCTTTTCAAAACCCCCCCCCCCCCCCCCCCCCGGCGAAAAAATGGAACACCTCAAGTTATGATGAAGATGCTCTTCTCTATCAATGCTTCACCCCCTTCTAATATATATGGGCCAAATCTAGCTCCTTAAGTCACCATTTCCGTCTTGGAGCAAACCATTAAGGGCTTGTGTGGAATGAGGCTAAGGGGGTGTTTGGTTGCACAATTTTATAGAAAATTTTTCTCAAAATGTCTGACAATGATAATTCTGTAATTAAAAATTTGCTGTAGATTTCCGTAAACTGTGTATGGTTCAAAAAAATTTACAAAAATATTTTCTGTAAAGTAGAAAAAAGTACCAAAATTTACAGAAATCAATTTCCTCTCAAAATGGACGAAAATCACCCATAAATCCGACAATACATTGACGTTTTTCTATAAAGTTGATATTTTTCTATAAATTTAGGGGGTGTTTGGTTCAATTTCTACAAATTATAGAAAATCTTAATATTTTCTATAAAGTTATGGGTCATTTTCTTGTTTTGAACCAAACAAGTAAAGTAAAAAAAACAAGAAAATTGGTACTTTTTGACTTCTCAAAACTTTTCATATAATATTTTTAAGAAATACAAGAAAATTATATTTTGGATGGAAAACATTTCCTATAATTTATAGAAATTAAACCAAACACCCCCTAAAGCAATCATGCTTAAACTTAACATGGTAATTATTACTCTAGTCAGGGAAATATTCTTGTATTTGGTGTCACGAGCCAAAATGGTTAAAAGTTAACACACAAGAATCTCTACCACTCTCAGCTCAAAGAGCATAAATTACAAAAATCCCCCAAACTTATAAACAACCTCCTCAAAAATGTAACAATTATAAAAAGCCTCATGCACAATTCAAAATTTATAAAAACCATCCCATAAGTTTAAAAATTACAGATAATACCCTAGAAATTTAAAATTACAAAAGACACCTTCAAATTTTCAAACTTATAAAAAAGTACATTGACAATGTAGGATTACAAACATCTTCTGAAAGTCTTAGAATTTGAGAAAAAACACCCTAAAATTTTAAAAATTATGAAAAATACCCTAAATGATTCAATTTATAGAAAACACCCTGAATGGATCAAAACTTGCAAACAAGTATTTTTTGTGAATTTTGATTTCCTTAGGATGATTTTTAAGATTTTCTAAGTAATTAGGGTTTTCTTGCAATTTTCCAAACTTTTATCATGTTTTTTTCAATTTTTAATATTTTAGGATTTTTTTATTGCAATTTTAGAAACTTTTGGGATATTTTCTACAAAACGCAAATTTTAGGGGGTTATTTGTAATCCTATAAAGCCAATATACTATTTATAGGTCTGAACAATGTACTTTTTGTAAATTCTGAAATATGAGGATTTCCTTAGCAATTTTCAAAAATTCCAAGTTGTTCTTTCCAAATTCCAAAATTCTAGGGGTCCGTTTGTAATTTCTGTATATTCAGTGTACTATTTGTAGAATTTGTAGGATTGAAATAACAATAACAATAACATTAACAATAACAATTATAGTAAAAAAAACAGAAAATAACAATAACAATTATAGTAAAAAAACAAGTATATTACAGGTAAAAGAATGACAGGAAGGAAGGCAGGATGGAACTTTGTTGCCTTCAAGAGAAATAAACTTTTTTTTTTCTTTTCACAGAATATATTTTCAGAGAATAAAATATAAAGTAAACGGAATAAATAGTAGTTGTTCTCAATTTAAAATTAATATCTTAAGAATGTTAGCGTACGCATAACGTTGTTGCATTCCAATCGCACTTACCACGCAGAAAAGACTCTGAATCTTATCATAACGTCTCGCCTTGTGCAGAATGTTCGGAGCCCTTAAAATACTAAATAAGGGAGAAAGTTGGGTATTTCCTCGCCTTTATATGGTTGGAAGGTTCTGATATGGTGCGAGCGCAATAGAAGAGAAAGAGAAATAAAAAAGAGATTCCTCCCTAGCTAGTTAGGCCTACTTTCCCCACAGGGCATAAAAATAAATTTACTGTAAAGTAGTGATCTCAAGGCACGAATACTCCCTCAGCATTCTCCCACTCACATCCTCCACGTTGTCAGGCCCCCTTTCCCCATCAAGTATCCACCACCATTAAAGAAGGTTCGATGAATGGCATCAACTCGAGGTGGAGCTCCAATACATTTGACGGAACTCCCCAACCTCTCGACTAAAAAGTCACATGAGCGTCCAGTGCTTTCAAGTCACTGCATTTACACGTTGCGCACACCACCAGAAATTTGCCCGATCTTTAATCATATAGACCGGGTGCAACTATGCACAGCAAACTCACAAATTAACAGACAAATAAATCGAACAACACCCTACAAGCTTGTGTTGCTGAAGGTATCCCAATGGAACACTGGGAACTGATTCTGAAGGGTGTAAAGTGATGCGCACAACCTCAAATGCAACACAACAATTCTGATAAGAACGAGCACGCAATGGAAACAACATAGAACTTCCAATAGATACCAAGTGCTCAACAATAAAACAAACCCTACCAATGTAACCAAATCCTGTTCGGAATTAGATAAAAGGATACAAGAATATGAATCCATGCAACGAGAAAACACCTTCCAAATGTGAATTACCCTTGACGTCTAAGCGAAAGAGTAAGGAGTCGTTCATGTTGCAAGAAGGTTACACAGAAATCACCAACCAAAGAATCTCGAGGAAAGCAAAACAAATTCATTGATGGCTTGATAGAGCATTGCTATCGTAGTCAGTTTCTGACTATGCACCAAGGTCAACATTCCTTCACTTCAGCAAGAGGTTAGAACAAGGAGAGACGGCTGGTGGTTCTTGATTTCCGTTTTCTTCTTTCTCTCTTTTTTGGTGCTTTGAAATTCACAAAATGGAGCAACTCTTCTGTGACTTCTTCTTCTTCTTCTTCGCCTTTGGTGGTTGGAGTACGACCTTAATGGCCGCATCGAAGACTCCCTTCACATTCTGCGAAGTATCCAAAGTTTTACAGCAAAACAAAGTGTCAATGAAAATAATATGATGTAAACATGTATATTTGCAAATTAGGCAGGGTTATTCTCAGCTTAAGCACAAGGTTATTAAATCCCCCCACCCCACAACCAAAAAGAAAAAACAACATAATAGTTCTATATTTGTCCCTCCAAATTGTTTTCTTCCCTCAATTTTACCCTAACTTAACTCCTCTTAAAATTCTAACAGTTATTAAATTACACTTATATCCCTATTTTAAATGTTTTATGAGAGAAAAATCATCAAAAACTCTGACCTTTCTTAACCCACATATTTGAACCATTATAAGCCAACCCGTTGTTAGAAAAAAAATCAATTGCATGTGACCACATCGTGTTATTCTCTTTTTATCTGGCAACAAAACCCAATGACATCTGCTTCTCACCAAGGTCGCGGATTAACCTGCATGGAAGAGGTCTTATATGTTGTTTCCAAAACAATCTAGAAACTGCATGGCTCTGCATGATAATCAGAGTATATGCATATTATTTGCAAGTGAAGTATCTTTTGTATATTAGATCGATGTCACCAACCCCAAATACTCCATCACAACGTATGACAAAACTGTGAAGGAAGTCTCTTCCAACATCAAGAAGGTTGGTTACAACCTTGATATGATCCTCTCTATAATAATCTC